AAAGCAAAGATTAAAGTAACATGGTCTGCTTCCTCTAGAATAGTTCTAATTGAATGATTTAAAGATTTACCAAACCATGCACATATGTTAGATCAAAGTGATATGCTTAAACATTTAGACACTATTCGGTTCTTAGTTACAAATGAAGCTGTAAAGAATTATAAACCCACTGCAATCACTAGTGTAGTCAAAGAATATGCAAAAAATAAGCTGGAGCTAGACAATAGTATTGAGTATTTATGGCATAAGGAGATTGCAAACATCAAATATAAAATTTAAGAACCTATAAATGTTTATTTAATAGGTAATGCAAGCCTAAGAGGGGATATATCTGAGACTTTGTTGTATCTGAGAAATCAGAAATATTATACTAAGTATTATAATATTTCTCAAAAATCCACAGAAAAGAAAATAAAATGTACGGAAGGTCTGTTTTTATGAACTGTAAACAAATAGAAAAGCTTTAACATCATAGTTGGCTTACCTTAATAGATTCTATCCATAAAATGAACAAGCATAACTAGAAGCTTTTCACATTATATATCCATGACAATTATGGGTGTTAGGAAAGTGGGTTTTATTTTTTTACATGTGCTAAGGATAGTCTGACTATCACAAAAGCACTAAAATTAATCTGAAGTAAATTTTGGCATTGAACTCTGTTATATTTTAATTGTTCAAAGCTGCACCAAAGCTAACAGTATAAAGCAAACTTTTTCTGGTGTTGGTGCAGGTGAACAAAGGTGTGAAATTTTATTTTGTATCGTTTATGTGTTGTATATATGAATTTTAAAAATTTATAAAGATGAAACTTGAAAAGTTATGGTTGCAGCTATAAATAAAAACATGAAAATGGGATGTGAATAACTTGTTCAGGAGGCTATTAAAACTTGTCTGGTTCCTGCTATTCATAACTATATTCAATAAAACTATTTAAAAAACACTCATCAGTAGGCCCTTTGGGCACAAAACTATTCTCTGCTCTTACTTCAAGTTATATTCACCAATGTGTTGGAGTCTTTTCACAGTGAACTAAAAAGAACAACATCTCATTTGCATGAGTTGATTGTGCATCTCATAAAGTTGTTGCCTTTGATCTTAAAAAAAAAATTGATACTGAAAGTGTTGCTTTTGATTTCTGTACAAAAAAAGTATCAGTTTATGGAGTTGAAGATGAAATTATTAAAGAAATCTACAAGTTTCCCTATTCTATGCAATTAATGCTTGTAAAGAAAGCTTGTGCTGTAGTTGATAGATTGGCAAAAAGTAAAGGTGTGTTGGGGCTTACTTCGCTGAATTGTTGCTGCATATTTCATACTAGATATTTTCTACCATGCAAATATATATTTTATGAGTACACCTTTGGTGCCTGCCGATTATTAACCACTGAAGCTTGGAGAATGTTTTAAGAAATATTTGAAGAAAGCAGTTTCAGAGTATATAAACATCACGAATTAGTAACTATAGAGATATTAGGGCAAAGTAAAAAAGAAAAAAATGCAGAAAATAGGCAACTTGCTATGAATGAACTAACTGAAAAGTTACATGAAAGATATTAGAACATTGAAGAAAGAGGTAGTACTAAGGAAGTAGAGGTTTTCATTGCTAGACTAAGGGGATCTTTAAATCCAATTATTGATATTAACTAAAAAAAAAAAAGATTTAAAGTAAGATTAAATAATGTTCAACAATCTGATAACACATATATATACCTTATATTAATACAAATTTAATTTAGTGGCATTTCTCTAAAGAGGGTTTATAAAAAAAAAAAAATTTAGTAATCTTTAGTTTTTTTTTTTTTTTTTAAAGATATAGGAGTAGAATTAGAATTGAAAAGGATAAAATAAAGCATTTGCATGTTTATAGTTTTAACAGAATATATAAATTGATGATTATTAATGTTATCTGAATTGAAATATATTAAAAATCATAAAAAAAATTTTATAACTTTTTTGTTGAGTAACCTTTAATAAAAAAAAAAACTAATCTACAAACTGTCCCTAGAAATACCAGAATATTAAAAGTATGCTGATAGCACTCTCATTGAATTTGCTTGAATAGTTGTCAAGATAACTTCGCTCAAGTAATTTAAAATACTTATACAAAATATGATAAACACTACAATAATTTTGAATGAAGATATCTTGATATCTATTCAAGCAAATTTGATAAACTTTTTTTTTTAATGCCGAAGATTTGTAAAAGTAAATAAAAAAAAATTCATTGAATTTGCTTGGATGGTTGTTGAGATATTTTCACTCAAAGTTACAGTATGTTTTTTTTTTTTTTGGTGTTAAGTTGAGGCCTTGCTTATATCTTTATTAGATAATTTATATAAGGAATTACATAGAGACTA